AGTCAGTCTGAGCAGCACTTTGTCTTAGTTGTGCACTGACGTGGCATATGCAGGTTACAAGAGCCCCAACGAACCCTCCCGTGGGTGACAGACGTGGCGTGAGACATAAGGTTTGTGTTGGAGGCCAGCAGAGCCCTTTCTACCGGTCGACACCGGGCCAATAGGGGGTTATGGCCGGCCACGGAACGACGCTGAGCAACCGCCGCAGGTTGCGGACAAAAAGGATCACTGCGAAGATCCGGCGGTGATCGGAGAGCAGCCTTCAAGACGCGCCTTCGGCCCTCGCGTTCGTCGGCTTGCCAGAGTCATTTTAGAAGGATTCACTATGTTCGCTATGCGGACGACTTCCTGATTGGAGTCATCGGACCTAGAGCAGCTATTCTATACCAGAAAGCTTTTGTGTCGGCTTCGTTATCCTCACCAGGTTCAGCATCGTCTCCCCTACCAAAAAGGATCAGCGAGGTCGGTCGCTTCAGGAGGGTTTCGTCGTTGCTTTTCCACGCACAAGGCGCTACCACGACACGACTTTCTTCATTCCGGTCGGAATACAGAGATTGGAGATCAGCACAGATGCAAGTAATCCCGAACGAACAAAAAAAGTACCTAAAAGACTGAATGAAAAAGTAACAATGTTTAGAAAGAAGGTCCAAGAATTCAACCGAAATGAAATGACTGAATGAATACAAGCTGTAGCTAATACCCAAGGCATCAAAGATGCATTTTCTACGGGATCCCAAAACCACCAACCGCCCCAACCTAGCTCATGATAAGCCCACGCGCGATGCTCAGTTGCAAGTATTCGGAGTTTCCTTGGGGTTGGTCAAGCTTTGGGCCACCCTAGCCCATCGAGTGCTCTACCTCTTGCAATGAAGATCACACGTTCTACCTCAATAGATTTCGTGGAAAACCAGCTATCTCCGTGCTATTATTTTTTGAACAAGCGATGGTTATTTGATAGCGTTTTTAATGATTTCATAGCTAAATCATTTTTACGTTTTGGGTATGAAGTTTCTTTGAAAACTTTAGACAAAGGTGCTATTTCCATTTTGGGTCCCTATGGAATTTCCACCACATTTCAAAAATTAGCAAAGCAAATAAGTACACTTCAAAGTGGCTTTGTGTACCATTAAGCACAGCGTAAGCAAATTCCACTGTGTCAGGCTCGCCACAAAGGTTACTCAGGTTGGAGAGCCGTGTGATGGGCGACCATCTCGCACGGTTCGGAGAGCACTTGTTACGGCTGAATAGAACGTTTTACTACGGTCTATCAGTTTAACTCTTGACTCAATTTATTATTATGGAGAATTATTGTATCAAGATTTGAATATTCGAGAATACTTCGGTTATAAAGTGAAAACAAAACAAATAAAAATCCACAAAAAACGAATTCGAGCTTCCTCGATAATCATTTTCAATACTGAATTCATTATCCGTAAATTAACATACATAAACGGATGGAGAGGGATTCGAACCCCCGATATTTCGTAATATGTCAGTTTTCAAGACTAATACCTTCAACCACTCAGACATCCATCCAAAGCAAAGACGCCCCTTGTACCTTTCTTTCCACTCCAGGCTCGGCTTCCGAACCATACGTGAGACTTTCGCCTCGTATGGCTCTTCTCAGAATCTATATTGATATTTGCTCTTTCTTATGGTATGGATTTAATTCAAATGTTTCTGTAACCTAAGACTCCAGTAAATTAGGTCACCATCGAATGGACTCTTGGTGGAATGGCTCGCCAGAGTTGGAAAATTTGGTCACGTAGATCTTGTATTTTGCCTAAATTTGTCGGTTACTATGCACAAGTTTATAATGGAAAATATTTTGTTGGTTTACAGATTACTGAAGATATGGTTGGTCATAAATTTGGAAAATTTGCTTCTACAGGCGGAAGGGAGGGAAACTGGTGGTGGTCTCAACAAATCCCGGGTGGGTGAAGTAGTAGGTGTGGTCGGGGGAAGGGAAGTCAGAGCACCGAGG